TTTTGCACCATCAGGCGGGTCAGATTGAATTACCCAACGGGCCGGATTTGGCCCCCATGCCATAGTTTGCTCATGTCGGCTCTAGAACCTTAATGCCATCATTATGACCTAGAAGCAATCTAAAATGACGTTTTATTCCAGTACAAAAAGGGCGCTCCCGAATGGCGCACAACCTGAACCTTAACCTGGTACACATACTATGTTCAGGTTGTGCGCCATCTTGGTGTACATACTTCAGGAGGTTCCAAAAAATGATACCCAAGTGCTTCACCATGTCCAACGAAACTGTTCCAATATGCTCGCTCTGTATTGGTATTCATATCAATCGCAACTAGTTCCGAATTCGTGCGTAATCTCAGCTCACATCTTGTCTAAGCAAAACACACCGCTCCTAGAGAATGAACATAATGGACTTCCTAAACATCCATTTATATTAGAAACAAATAAACAACTATTTTTGTAAGACGAGATAATGATAAGTTTCAGTATCTGCAGAATCGAACAGTAATTGTAGGTTTCATTTGCTCTGAACAAATTAACTTTTTTCTTTAGCCTTGCAAATATTAGAATTTGAACGCGTGCCACACAAATCGTATAAAGCAGTGATATTTTTTCTGAGGTGGTCTAAACAAACGATATCAACACTGAGTTTGAATATGATTTAAATATATCTGAGCAATTGCCCCAATTGTGTGTAATCGCTCTTCTGCATTTTCACAAAAGTGTACATCCTCTTATAACCAATTGAGATCAGGTATATTCAGGCGTACCATACGTCAGGGGTGTGCACCATTTTTTGTCGGTGAGCCATACAACCAACTTTATACATCTAGGTGAGCCACACAAAAATGAAGAATGTGGTTATTGCTTAGCCTAACAGTAATAAAGACACCGGGCAAAACGGCGAAAAATTTAACGCAGCGACAATAACGAAAAACATTATGTACATATACCATGTGAGCGACTACAAACAAAACAAGCGAAACAATAATTGTCCGATTAAGATTTTATGCTTAATGGGAAAAAATTTTGAGTTTTGATAAGTGCCACACTAAATGGCTCGGTGGACCGGATTGTGGCCCGCGGGCCTCCATTTGCGCACCCCTGTCATAAGTTATACTATGAAAAAAGGTGACAATACGACTGCTCGACAATGCATTTGAGCTATGAACAAGGCACCGAAAAAACAGCTTCGAGCAAGGATTTAATATTATCTGGAGTATTCCGAATCTTTTCAGATTATTTTGATAGGTTAAATTTACTTCTTACATTTTACAGCTTACCATCTGTTTTGTTTTTTTCAGCACGTATTGAAACTAAGAAAACATCCTAGTTAACGATATTTATCAAAAAACAAATAAACTTAATGAAGTCAAGAGTTTATCTTTCCTACTTTTGACGTCATTTGCCATTCACAAACATAATTATCGACATAGTAGGTCCATGAAATAAAGTAGCAAGACTTTTCCTTACACACGGATATCTTTACATCCTATGTAAGGATTGAGCCACGTTAATAAAAATACAAGAATAGTGTTGAGAGGGTATTAGCCAAACATCACAGTATATGCAGCTGATATGGGAAAACTACGGCGGGCTAAATCCGGCCCGTTGGGTAATTCAATCTGGCTCATGATGCCACAACTAGAATAAAACCAAATTTTCATGTTTTAGCTGAAAACATCGCCCAAGGTATTTGCTGAGATTGGGATTAAATTTAGTTTTGGCACGAGGTTAATTATTTTCCACTTTTGCTTTCGTGAAACTGTAAATATTGTTCATGCAATGTTTTTACGTCACACTTACATGGTCCGCCAGTCTAGTTGGGCAAAATGTTCGGCCTCTAGTTCAACAATCTTGCCCAAGCGCACCCATGGTATACACCATACATTTTCCATCTCAACATTCGTATCATAAACTCGAGATTTTTTAGTAAGGCATTTTCAAGCATTTAGTTTCGATCAAGGCTATGTATTATAGTCTACTGATTTATCAGGAAGAACCAGAATACCCGGTTCGGTTTTGCCTTTCTAATTTATTTAAATCTTTTTCTTAAATGTTAAATAACTTGGGTTCTTTGTCAATAGTTTTTTTTTCTAATTTCTCTGGGTATTTCCCAGGTTGTGTAACACTAAAAGTGTGAAACTTATTTATAGATATTTTGATGTCAGCATTTTTGCGTATTTTCCACCTGATCATTCAATAAATTTGATTAACTAGAAGTAATTTTAAATAGTTTGTGTAAGAACGCTGTAAGCAAGAACTGACGCAGAAAATCTATGTACCAATGAGATCATTGCATTTTTTCAACCGTTCTTAACTAGATTTCATTTCGCTTCTCGAAGCCTTTTTTCGCTGAATCATAGTTGCAAATCGAAATAATTGAAACTTGCAAAATTTTGCGCGACATCATTATGAGTCATCGTTTCAATATAGAAACAATTTTATTAGTCATATATGAAGTATAATATTTTATTATATTTGATTTGTTTAGCGTAATTAAATTTTGAAAGATTATAATTACTTTTTGTGGCCAAACAGCCTTTTTCAGACAATCCTTCTTATTGTAATTTATTATTGACGATTTCATTTGTATACAAATAAACACAAAATTGCACAGCAAGCTCGTAAAAATTATTGGTGTTTGGTAATAATAATACACAATTACGTACATATACATATTGACATATAAGTGATAAATGATCCAAGACCACGCATTCGTGTTGAACAGCATGTATATACCACGAACTTCGTGGCACTGACTTTACAAAATTAAATATTAACTTTCACGTCACGCGGCAGAAAATAATGTAAATTGACTTTGCTTTTAGGATATATGGTTACAATTTCAAATTGTGTGAAATTCATACCGTGGTAACTCTTATTATTCATATTTATTAAATCAAACATTCTCAAAATAATTTGCTGCAGAATACTATATTTTATCAAGTCCACACATTTTTGGCACAAAGGAGCCAATCTCTCCATAGGCCTAATAATAGTAAAGTTGTCTCAATCATTGATATTTGTGGCGTCTTTATTATAGGAAAATTCACGCACCCCTCATTCATTCAAGCTGTAATTAGAATAACAAATAGCCCACTGAACTAATATAATGAATCTACAACTGATAAATTATTATTCTACCACATCAACGAGATAATAAATCACGGTACTCCCCTAGTATGTGAAACAAGATGGCGGACACTGGGACGTATTATGTGTACCTGGTTAGGGTTAGGTCACAATTTGGGTACAGATACTACGGGAGTTACTTGGCAAGTCTCCGAACTCGTAATAGAGCTAAAATAGGGAAAATTGGAATAAAATTGGCCTAACCCTTACCTGGTACACATACTATGTTCAGGTGTCCGCCATCTTGGTTCACATACTACGGAAGCACCGAAGTTACTACGCCGAACGTATTATATACCGAACGAACGTACGAAAGTATTTGGCCTTGTATTCGGTATGTATGTCGATAGGGATACTTATAGAGCGTGGTAATAAACTTTAGCTGCCATAAAGTTACGCCGTTGTATTAAAAGCAATCCATTGCAAAGAAGGGTTTGTTTCAAGTTTGCTGACAATTTAAATATTGAACATGGTACCTGTTTTATGCGAAGGCGTTCCGTGGGCGGGTTACTTTAGTTCAGTGTTGAACGATCGACTCGATCATTGTCAACGTGGCGTCTCAGACCTGTAGTTAAATTTAGACACGTGACCACGCTATTATAAAAAGCTTGAATAAATATCATTTAACGGTCGTCTCTATTGTGAGTCTGTAGAAGAACATATAAAAGGGATAACATAGTACGAAAATGTGGGTTGCTTGGTTGTTGTTCGGACCGGTGTTAAAATTTATTGTCTTAGCCAGGCCCACGTATGATCCATGCTAGAAGAAGATAAACAAATTGTCATTGTGTGGATTAAGGCTTTTGTAATTTTAAAGTGATGGTAAATAGTAGTAAGCTTAAAGCAACGCCCATCACAGTAACCAAACTTGTAACATGGTTACCTATGCCGCAAGTACTTCTGCAGAGACCACATCGTTAAAGTACGAATGAGAAAAGTCACGTTCAGATTCAAATACACCTCAGGTCATGTGATTTTTTGTGGATTTCATAAGAACTAGACTGTCGCGATAATCACAGCTGTAAGCGGGGTTTCTTGCTCAGCACGGAACATGAAATACCATTCAGATACGTGAAAGCACGGTCGTAGGCCCTAGAAAATCCCCACAAAACCTTTATACATCATGATAGTTCTACAGAACCTACGCCGCGGGTCAGGTGTTAGGCTCATTCCAAAATCTCCCGGCCCTACCCTGGCTTACATATGACAGAACAACTAACAGATTTGAATGAGAACATAATACAACTGACTCAAATATATGCACAGGGACGATGTATACATCTGGGATAATCATTCTCATGGAGAAAGCGAAACGCCATTATTGCAGGGTAAACACAGCAATACGTTAGTAAACAACCCATGTTGTCCATTACAAAGTGTCGCAGAACAGACCAATATCAGCTACTGCTAGGGTACGTAAATGCCCGATAATGTGCCATTTTATCAGTGCGATTTTATCGCCACTACTTTCTACCCCAGATGCATAAACCGTGTACTACGTCGGAGAGCGAACCCCATTATACCATTTTTTTCACCTTTTGACTATGTCACTACCCTCAAAACAACAAGGAGGTCATCCATGACTGATATACCAGCTAAGGCACGCAAATGGCCATGAATACTTTCTACCTCGGATGCATAAACCGTAATGTCCGGCGGAGAGCGAATTCTATCATTTAACTTTTGTTGAAAAATTTGACTATATCACCACCCCTCAAAGCAACAAGCAGGAAATCCATAAATGATTTGATTAATTTGGTGTTTTATTGTTTTTTTAAAGGTTTTCGTTTTTATAAAGAACAAATTAAATAAAAAATACTCAACAAAAATAAAAATAAAAATGCAGCACGTAAAATAAGATATAGCAAAGCAATTTCGCTAATGCTGACAAAGAAAATACAGAGTAAAAGATTCATTGTGAGGTCACATATGGGCCGACTATAAATTCAGATAATCAATCAAGTCGGACTTATAAATGGCCCATACATAACCAAGATTATGAACAATAAATCTCGTACCCAAAAGTTTAACGTTATATCACAGTGGAAACATTTAGAACAAAAAAAAAACACTTTCCGGTATCATTTCCGGGTCGATAACCTTTATTTTGACGATTTTTATCAACTGAAACAAAATTTTATCACCTTCACCAAATTTTATAACAAAAATCGAAAATCATTGACCCGAAATAAAGCCGATAACACACAAAAAGGAATGAATATTTGTAGATGATTTGATTCGGACAATTCTAAAATATTCGGCAGATTTGGAACTGTTCGCTGTAGCGCCTTGACCTCCTTCAGTTCACCTTTCAACCTTTGACATCTCTTTTCCCAACAGCTTTTGAGGAAGCTATGGTTCGTTACGATATCAGGGGCTTCCTATGATAGCCCAAGAACATTTCTTTCGTTGTAGCTTGGAGCTTAGTCTTTTATATAGTTCATGACGAAGAATTGATGATAGAAATCCAAAGCATTGATAAAATAGTGAAAAATAATGTTGAGAAAAGGCTCAAACTCAAATTTGAGGCTCCGTTTCCGCCGTCGCCATTGGTGGATCTTGAAGCAGCGATTGCCAAGTTTTTTCCGGAGTTAAGTGAGGTCGGTGTTACGGGTACGATTTCTGGGACGACTGGGGTTGGTTTATGTTCTTTCTTTGATTCTTTTTCGTTGTGATTTTCCTTGATTCTGTCGATGAAAGAAGTTGTTGGCTTTTTGGTGGGAGGAACAACGGTAGCTTTGGGTTCCGATTTTTCAATTTCGTCTTTTTCTGGAAAAATAAGAAAAATACAAATTTAGCAACTGAAGAAATTGCAGCAAACAGCAATATTTTTTGCAAAAAGTAATTTGCAAGAAACAGTGGTTTTATTGAGCTATATATCTCGGTTTTCGAGGAATATAGAAATTCTAATAATGACATGGCCTAGGGCGCTGGTTCTGTTTATAGTTTGGTCGGGTTATCTGCTTTTTCCGCGTATAAATTTAACTTAAATAAGAAATTCTGTTTATAAATCGCAGTACTTGTGTTTATTTTGTATTTTTTAGTCAGCATACGAAAGTTTACATTCGGAGAACAAATAAAACGTCAATTTTAACCCAAAATTTATTTTCTTTCATTCCGAGAAATTTAATACACTTTTTATCTAATTTTGTATCAAAACGTGTCGAAAAAATCGATATTTCAGCTTTTAATGAAATTTGACACGAATATATTACACGCCTATCTCAGTCATCGCACGTATTTTTTCACTCATGAGTCAGAAAAATCTAATAATATTACAAATAATACTCTCTTTTGTTTATAATCTTTTAAATCAGCGTAAAGACGAAGTAAAGTCCACGTAGCAATCAATACATTGTTCTAAATATGACATATTATACACCCAAATATGATATTTGATATCCTCACTGGTGTTTTGTATTTAATTACATATAAAAGGCGAAAACAGTCTGATTTTTGAACAAAGCGATCTTACAGAGTTCGGGTTTTATAAATTGCTCGGTTTAAAACAATATTTATTCCCAAGGGTCGAAATAGTCACCTCTTGGTTTATTTTTAGGAAGTTTTTATAAACATTGAAGTATAGAAAAGATTTGCCAAACATTGTGCTGAACCCAAACCATCAGCTCAAGGCTATATTTTCAAACCAAAATTGCCATTATTACAGGACAATTATGTACTCGAGTGGGAACGTGCGTCGAATTACGTGATTGTGCGTCACAATTGGATTGGACGAGACGACGACAACTCAATATCTAATGAAGACCGGTGAACTCAATTACATTTTCCAGACGGTATTGAGCGAATATTGATAAGATCCAACTTTTGCAAAGTTATACAAAACCTCATAGTAGATTCACCCGCGATTTGGAAACTTGGTTAGTCAAAAAACTCTAAATATACGCCTGGAGCAATCGGTTTGAATTTTGATGATTCTTAGATGGAAAACGACACTGTGTGGTTGCCTATAACCTACTAACATGTTATTTAGAAAATAAAGTGGGTATTTCATGCTATTTTGCACGACAAGATATTTTTATGCAAAAGTATTAAAACATGGGCTTGTCTTAATGCATCGAAACTACGATAAGCCGATCCTAGGTTTAACGGACAACATTACCAACAAGAATTATCTCACAATCTCCGTTTACACATTGATTCGAAGTTATAAACAAAGTAAAAATAAAGAGTAAACGCCAATTTTGGAGAGTCTATGTGCGTATTAACCCCTTTATTGCATTTAGACTCAACTTAGTAACAGTATTAGAGATTAAACATTACAGATGGTTCATGAATTGTTAAGATCAAAGAGGTCGGTCAATATTACATTGCACTGCGGGCTATGTTCGTCGTATTAAGTCTTTGTTTCCATAACATTCGCACTGGCTTAATGTCAGGAATTAAGTTAAGAATTAATTTATTTAAAATTTGGGATTTTTCGGCGAATTTTATCGTGAAATTTGTGACTGAAGTTGCGAAATCTTACTTAGTTTTTGTTTTTGTTGAAATCTAAGGAATCTGCTAAGCGATTACGTTAACGGTGAAATGAGTCTAAGTTTTAAAATATTTATAAATCTCGAACAATAAGGAATTCTTGTTAAATTATTGTAGATATAAAACCACTGTTTCAAGTTCATATATATCAAGAGTTCAACTTACCATCAGAACATCCAACACGGATTCTCAATCTCTCAGAATCTTTTGTGCACTTGTAATGTTTTTTGCCACTGGCTTTATCAAGGGGAGATGATCTTTTGACGGCTAAAATGTAAATAGAAACAATTATAAATCATTGCAATGCTGTATTTACCATTCTAACTATTGGTAAAACCGATAACCGTTATTTATATCGTAAGGTTAAAAGTGCGGTTGAATATCACTGAACTGGAAATCGGTGTTCAAGGGTAATTGCACACTACATTTCAAAATAAAATTTTAAATCACAAGCCATGTCTCCTCGTTCCAAAATGCGGTTAATTCAAAACATCAAGACTAATAGACGAATGGTGATAAGGTCACAAAAGCTTGACTATATCAAATTTCAGCATTCCTTGCTCTGAAATTGCACACGCCATATTTGGTATCATTAACAATACACTTGTCGACTTCGGAACTTCAAGTCCGAATGTACACTAGTGATTTCACACGAAGACCATTTTGAAGTCACAGTCGTTTTTACAACGCTTGATTGCTCATAGTTATTACATCACAACGGATATAGACACTTACCAAGGAAATAATATTCTTGACATTCTTGAAATCGGAATCCGAAGGGTGATGGGCTGATACTTTGAAACTTAATTGTCAATTTGTTTTCTTGGTCTGGCAAACTGCAAGCGAAGATAAGTCTTCCTCCTGTTGACGAAAATACAATTTGATTATTATGACAACACAATATGCTTTATGAAATGTCAATATGATAAATTGTGAGCAAACAAACACACATATGCTTAATTGAATTTTATAAACTCGAAACTTTTTAAATATGCCAGAATCAGCCCAAATTAGGATATTATCAAACATGGCAATACATATGGAAAATGTAAGCCAGCTTGTGTATTGGCAACTATCTATTTTAAAGTGGCAACAGGTGAGTGCATACACAACCCTAAAGCCGGGTTAAATACAACGACGTGCCCTATCTTTATTTGCACTTGGCGTATGGGTACATATACTAATACGTGGCACTGTGACTGATTACCCATATTAGGCAAGTCAAGAGACGATGACGCAACCTTTTAAATAATGCATACGTAACAATGTTTTATACAATTTATTATTCTTTTCCAATATGTCTGAACGTGGGCGAATCGAGTTAAATCATAGTAACGAATAGGTCATTTTCGACAACTCCATAAAAGCTTTTCCGTCATGCTTTTGTGGCGGAAATGTATACAATTGTGACGTTATAATAGTGTCTCGAAATACGCATTAAGTCATCAGAATGGGATCGATTGATGACATTTTGTATTCACAACCGGTACCCACCGCACACATTAATGTTATAAAAGCCGATTGAAACAGATTTAAACAAAGGGTGCACAATAGATAATTTACGCGTAGCTCAATGGGTGTTGTTTTAAGGGTCCACTTTGTAAGCGCGAGCTAGTTGGGTGTGAAAACACCCCGAAAAAGACACCGAAAGGTAAACAACACTAATTGGGTTGGAAAACGACACCACAACTAATGGCGTGCGACAAAACCTACTTAGCAAAACATTAATCTCAAATTACTGCCCTAAATGAAACTTAAACACCGAAAATTTTGGGAATTAACATTATTTACCACCTAATTGGATTTCGTGTAACGTGTACGAATCCTCGATTATTGATATATTAATTTCATACATCGCCAGAACATGGAAACCAATATATATATATACAATTTATTCTTTATTGAGCTATGGAGATTATGTGGTGTTCTCGTTACATGGGAGTGCGGTGCGTAAACCTAAATACGATGCGTCAGACTTTGATATTGTATAGATGAGAACATTAGATAGTAATATTCGCACGGTTGAACACACTAAAATTGTCGAACAAGGGAGTCAAGTTGTCGAAAAAAAATGGTTCAAAGTCAAGGAAGCGCTTCAAATTATGGTGTTCACAGCGAGGTGAAACCAGAGGCGTGAAATGAAGGTTTTGGAATAAACAAGAACCGCCTTAGTCGCAATGCGACAATATATCTACCGTTGAAACTGTGGTATGTCAGGGTCACACGCTAACGTCAAGTTATTTTTTGGGGTAACGTTGTGGAACAGTGCGCGTAGACTTGACGATGTTACTCGCGGCAAATCTCGCTTTACCATCAACGGAACAATATCTGAAGGATATTGCTTAGAGTCACGCATCACTACACTTTTTAAAAATGATTGAAAGGGTAATCCATTCAGGTTCAATCCACGTGCAAATATCATCCTTTTACTGAATTTCTGTTCTATTTTGAGTAATTTTAAACCATTTCCACTGATGCAAACCAAAAAATTATGAACGATAGGCCGCAACATAAAGGATTTGGACTAATAATGTGGGCATTCTTATAAATTCATGGAAATATTATTGTGGTGATATACTATGCACTATGCTTATGCTTAGATATAAGCAATAAAGGTTCCTTTGGGAATATAGAAACTATAAATACACCTATCAACGGTTTATGCCAATTGCCTTCTACCGGCAGTTGGATTTATTTAACCCAAGAGAATAATGATTTAAATTGTACGTTTGCAAACAATATAATGGAGTATGGAGGGTTAAATGAAATAAGTTGTGCCGCTAAATGCCTTTGGGAGTATTTTTATAATGTTTGAAATCACGCTCCCACGTGTGGTTACGATAACACAAATGACTTAGTAGTTGCTGTAGAAAATTATAATAAACAATCAAAGTTATTGATAACTTACCTAATGGGTTGCAGGTATCAAATCCTTCCTTTGTGACATTGTAAAGGTCGAAAAGCGCGGGGGGTTCTGGGTTATCAGTAATTCCGAGATTTGAGAGAGGGCATACAATATCCATAAAATGTCCCATTTGGACTTGAAGACTGTAGTTTGGGTCTTTAATACTGAAATACAAAATATAGATTGTAAGTAAAATGGAAAGTAAACAGAATTTAAAGATTATACTGTAATAACGTTCACACGAGGTTTGAATATGCAATTATATGTTTTGAAGACGCTTTCTAAGCCTGTAAGATTAAAGAAAACCCCTGCATGCATAGTGCGCGAGATAATAGGGCAGTTATGGGAATTGAAAATCAGTTATTTTCGTATTAAAAGCTTATATGCATGAAGACATATATTACAGCTATACCACTTAATTCAATTATAAGCCAAAGGCGAACTAAACGTATTTTAAGCATTATCTTTTTCATTCAGGTGCGGGCAAAACCATGTAAATTGTGCAACACTAAAAACCATAATTATTCCTACACGGAAAACATCAGATTTTACATCACTGAAATATGCGGTTTCGTCTGTCGTTTTTTTTATTTAGCATTGAAAAGGGAATTACACGGCTCGATATACGGTTTCAATGAGCAATTCCACTTCGATTAGTATTGATTTTTTGCTTTCAGTCGACGTAGTGTGGTCATAATTCAAGAGGTCCCGTGGCGCGGGTTCGATTTCAAACAAAAACACTTGGATATCCGTGAAATTAAGTATCGAAATTTTGGCAAGCATTGGGAGCTCCACGAGTTCAATTTGAAGAGACAAATCGGGCCAATTAATGATTTAGATACACCAATTTAAAATCGTATTCAACAATTATAGAATAGAGAGGATATTTCGATTTTTTGAGAGTCTATTTAGACCGGGGGAAACTGCCATCCTCATTAATATTAACGATAAGAGGAGACGAGCGGATATTTCTGGTAGCTTTCAATTTTCCAAGTGGTTGCGCCCCGTCGGGTGCAAGGTACGCGAGACGGGATACTAATGGTATCTGCGGCGCAAATGTGACGTCAATATTACCACCCAAAGCTCACAAAATCCTTCCATGAAAGCGAACAAGATGTGGAAACTTGTCATTTATCAAAACATTTTAAGCTAATGCTTGAATAACAACATTATGTTTAGGTTTGATGTATAATACACGACTCGTATATCAACAACAATTAAATCTTTCGCGGTACAAAATGGAACTTTTTCTGTACATAAAACCAACTATACACAATTAATAAACGAAACAGGTACCGGGAGTCATAAATTATTAATGCCCAAAAGACGACAAAAGCGTATTAGATCATAATTTTCCGTAAAGGGTGGAAAGGTGTAACACAGGAGCTGTCTACTTCATGTTAGCGGTAATTAAATTTCTGTGACGGCGTCAGCGACCTGTTGTCGGTTTTCCGTCAAAAGCTGCCGCATGGACCTCCAGACATATCACGCCCTACATTTGACATTAATACAAGATTTCAAAATATGATTTCATGGTTGCCATATGTCGTAAATTTTTATATGGTGGTTATCACATTAATATTGACCAAAAATTGAAACGGTAACAGCGAGATTTTATCAAATTATTACAATTATTACAAGTTACCAAATCAGTAAAAATGCATGTTTTTCGTGGTGGGAAACCTTTAACGATTAGGGTTAGTAAAATCTAAGTACGATAAGAAGTAAACATAAAGCGCATGCTGAATGACTACAGAGATGGATTTGGTAGTTTGCTTTAGATGTCTTACACCAGTCTCTCGCCACACGACCATTTTAAGCAGCTTTTTCAGCCGCTGCTTGCAATTTGACACGGCCCGTCGGTGTTTTAGTTGAAAGATTTATATTTGCATAACCCCACGGATTTATAACTCATTGTTTACATCACAAGGGTAAACAAATCGTCACAAACTAATAGAGACGTGTGCGTCTTCCACGAAGATATGGACCACGAGGAGTATTAAACAAATACTAATAAAAAAACACGATTCGCTCCGCGTATATCACATTAGTAATATATACACCTCCATGGGAAAATAATATTCAAACAAGGATATTAAATAAGACGTGTACCGTGACAATAGCTAACAAGGATTTTAATAAGATAAGACGAAACAAATATCGGCGTTGACAATCGAGGAACGGCGTTTGTGGTGTCGTCGACGCGACTACGGAGTTGATTGGGTAGAATGATGGTCTGAAAGGGCGCCTGCTTGTCCGGGGTCTGTCGGCTAATAAAAATCGCCACGAGCAAGAACAAGTGTATTTTTCGGTATTAAATAATCGAAGAAGTGTTGATCATGAGCACTACACCTAAGCATTAACCAGGCAACCTTTTTTTAAATTACACGTAAAGGCATGCGAATTCGAGCAACCTACAAGAACGTGGAGTTGCGTCACTTTATTGTGGGAATATCTAATTAACTATGGAACGGTTACTAATAACCAATGATGTTTATTACTGTGATCCGAAGATGGAAAGTTGTAAACAAAGAATAAAATAAGTTTCCCACTGAGATGTTGTAAACCACTAAAAGGCAATTAAAGAATAACCATCTATTAGGGTCATTGGAAAGTAATAAATGTAACACAAAACACAGGGAAATTGTCATGGATTGGATTTATTTATATGGATGGTGTCGATTTTACAAAAGGTTGTCAAAAGTCTCTTGTTCTATTTACCACAGTTTAATTCATTTGCTAACTTAGAAGCGACTTTGTGTCGCCATTTGACCAAAAGTTACACCGTAAGACGCCATGAACCGGTAGTAGAATTAGATAAGGCTCGTTTTTAAATCGAACGCGATGGTTGGGTCTTATCTGCGCCTTTTCGATAAAACGTCATGTATGCTTTTAGCAAATAAAACAAAACGCTATAGGCAAATAAACATCTTCATTAGGCGAACGGGCTTGCTATTTCAATACGTCTATTAATTTTGAGTGCCACAGGTGGTTGAAGATAAATTTTAAAGGTAAACAACAATTCCGAATTATCATTGTGATGTCATCATAATTGTAACAATAGGGCACTGTGCAGAATTACAACGAAGCCGTAAATCTGTCTAATGTAAAGTAATTAACAAACAAAATTCGAAAGTACCCAAATTTATTAAATAGGCACACGAGACAAAGTATACATATTACGTGTCGTTGTGGAGTAATATTTTATTGTCCTCGGTGCCATTTTCGCGCCAGTGTGGACGAGAGGTCGCTAATATGTTATCCAAATAAGCAAATAGTATTACGTAATGGCCGATGGAAAACTGTCATAGTAGGACACACATGCTGTGGGTCACAAAACGTCAATCAAAACAAAGTGTCTACAATTACTCATCCCATAAGCAAATTAGCAAAATATCATGACGTATGCTTTAATATGGGAGTCTTAATTGGGTGTTGTTATGTTTAATGAAGCTATTGAGAATTACTGGTTGCTGCCAGGTACGAGACTAACAAATGATAACCCAACCTTTACTTAATTATGCTTGGTGGTAATTAAGGCGCCTGAGATTGTGTGCTTTGCACTCGAAATGCATGCAAAAATGCAATTGCTATGGTAGCTATCTTTATTTGCTTGCAAACTAGGCGGTATTGTGAGTGCATTGTGAGACAATAATAATGTGACCTTCGATTTTTAAAGACAAAATCGTGAGTTCGTGCACGAATTAAATTTCAGTCACGTTGGCCGCAAAATCGTTCAAAGAGTCTTAATATTATCAGATTTCACAAATAATTATGCTAACTACCGGTCTAAACGCAAACTAAACAAAATTTGCGCGCGCCGTCGGAAGGACAATACATCACATACTTTGATCATACAAAAACAACAACGTCAACAATGGAGAACAATTAATTTGAATTGTTAATTGATGTCGTCATAATTTGACACCAGACTACAAGCACCTTGCAGCTTTGGTGAATATAATCCAACTAAAAGGCCATTATGACTATGTCCTCGAATTCAAGTGTTTATTATAAACGCTATTTGGACAAATGAAATTTATTAATATACATTGAAGTTGATATATTCCTTGGCATAATCAATCAACAAACCAATCTATAGCGATGTATACATACTTCATTTTAAAGGCTTAATAATGCCCAGTGGGAAATCATTTTGAGGCCGAATTGAGTACTTTGTAGGGGATTACAGAAACGCGATTTTGCTTTTAGGATTCCACCATCGTAATTAAGTTATCATTCTTTACAATACTAAGGTCAACCTTCTTGTACCAAGAGGGTGGAAAATATTGACCAACAAGTGAAACAAATTTAAACGAAAACGGAATAGATCGATGCGAATGTTTCGCGATACATTTTGCTTGAAATTTATCATTTGTCGTCGAATTTGTAATTTGATACAACATTTCAGGCGCCGAATCTTTAGTAAAGTGAAAAGGCCTCCTTTATCAAATCATGATATTCAAAACGTGTGAATTCAGAATGACTTGTAACGCCACACCTATGTGTTTTGTTTGTATATTAGAGATGTTTCGTTCTGTTATTACAAAGATCAAAGGGCCTTAGGATGTAAATGGTAAGGCAGGCGTGAGAAAACAAAAATAATGTGAATAGATTAAACACTACGTAAGTGTAAAGTTATATATAGGTATCGTAGTGTCTTCAGTAGGTGTCTACTTTGCCCTATATGACATCACAAGCGATTTGGTATGCTCCAGTAACCAAAGCTATTGGCGCGGAAGTCCTATTTCGCGAGATGCCGCGAAAGACCTTACAAATGGCGGTGGCTTAGCTACGTTTATACTTCTCACACATCCCGTATTAAAAACTAACATCAACTCGAAATACATATTAATATCTTCGTTTGAACCGCCGAACTTGCTAGTTAAGGACACACGGTAAATTAATTAACGATCACAGCTGAATATACGCTAACTTTACAACACTTGGTAACGACTTCCGAATTCGCAACTTTCAATGGGTAATAATACATTCATGCCGAGGGCGAGAATTCGTATAACAGCGAATATATTGCCGATCCAAATTGGTAAAATACACGATCGTTCCCAAATGTTGAATTTAGTACCGAAATTACTAATAATGCGACATCTCTAGGATTAATATTAGGTAATATCCTACTAGCCCAACAGCGAGGCAGCATAATGCAGCTGCATTTATAGATAATACTGTAATAAGGATTTATTCACTCTGGTCTTGACATTTCTAAGTCATCACGTGTTTGTTATTTAGGAAAATGGACTTCCTACGGTATCGTATGGTTCCTGTAGACATCCATACATATTATAATAATGAATACTAATTTGTTCATATTTTGAACTTGAGAGCTCGTTAATGAATAACATTGCACAGCTCGAGGCCTATTGTTGTCGTCGACGACACGGCGTAGTCTTCTGTTGCCGAACAATGGGATTTTAGTCGATTGTCCTAAATGAGCGCCTGTGTCGCCGCACTAATATTCCAGGTAGCAATTAGCTACCAGCCGAGGTTCAATAGGCTGATACGCGGTGGTACGGGTGCCCTAGCATTGGACGTGTGCCCTTCCTAATTACATGGTAAAGTGATTTTGTTCTGCAAAGTTATAATTTTATCCAGATTTGAAGCACGATTTTATTCACGATTATCACTCTTGAACCAATGAATTTACCGAATCGCAAAACATCACACGTAACGATGAGTCCTAAATTTGATTATACGCAACATATGTCACCAGGTTGTCGGGTATCGTTCGTAACATGCATACAGTCGTGTATGGATTACGAGTAACACTTCAACCCTATATATTTACTACTACAAGTTCCAGTAAATAACGTTAGGATCCATAATATACAAACAAACTTACATTTTTGTGATGACAGGGTCCCAGTAGATGTAATGTCTTTTAGCTTCTTCGTCAAAAGTAAAAGACGAAACTTGGTGTTGAAATCCAGCGAATAGTACGACAATAAGAGCAGCAAAAGTAAGGTCCATTGTGGATTTATATAACTCCAATAAGTAAACACGAATCGATAATATAGATGTATAATACTTGTCTGGGAAAATAATATATGTTTAGAACAACACTTTTCGAATCAGGCGGGATTGTATAACCTCGAGTGTCTTGTTTGCGTCACTGCCTAAGTGACCGTTCTAGTAAGCACGCCTCTCGAATGAGGCTACTTAGCTGCACCAGTAGCTTTTAAGTGTTCTTAAAAACTGGTAACTTTAAAAATAAATCCCTATTTTTCTTTCTTAATTAACCACATCGTCTAAAAGTGTGTCGCACTAAGCGCCCTCTTTGACATCTCAAGATCACTTATGTTACTAACTAGCTAACTCGATTGCAGATGAGTTTTCAAATCAAATTTGCAAAGATCGACCGAGCCCAACTACTGAACGAGCACGATGTTCTGAGCTACGAGTAAACAGCGAAGGCAAATAATAAAGCGATCGTTTCGGATCGCCTTTTTCTTTTTTTTCTCGCTCGCAGATAACGGCGTTCGTCGCTGATTAACCCTCTACCCAGCGATTAACTCTACGGCGCCCATTGTCTATCATAACAATACATTCGCCAAATGAATATCTTACATGAGATTTCAAATGCTTTGCATTGTAATCCCCTAATATTACATGTGCAGCCGTAAAGCTGGCGCGTGTAGGGTAAAATAGGCGCACTTAAAGCACCATTTAACTACAATACAACGCTTTTCACATTTTTAAAACAAATTGCGTTTACAAAAACATAAGTAATTATACCTTTAATGCAGCAACCAAATAAGGAATGGGTGTTTATTTGCGCCAGGCTGGAGCAAAGCTCGTTCAACAGCCAGCTCAAGCACAAATGCCATTACTGTTTACTACGACGCTCAACGCTCACAATAGTTGGACAAAAAACATCATAAAATTTACGGCATACGAGGTGAATAAATTTGCTTTTCCAGCGATGGTGAAACAGAAAAACCTGATCTAAGTGCATTCAGAGCTGGTCAGGCTATACCTATCATACCAATGCGTTGTATATGTAGTTGAAAATATTCTAAATTTTACTGTATATATATTTTAAAGCATACTGCATTGCTGCTACCTACATATCATTCACAAGTAAGAACATCCATTGCTACTTCTATGTGAACATATAGTCAATAACTTTGCACTGCCTCTGCCAACCGATATTAAGTTATAGCGTTCAACTCTGCAAGGTGTCAAGTTTTAAACACCATTACTTAGGCTAAAACAACTGCCTTATTTCCTGTTATATCCGGTTTCGGGAACAAGTTTATTTAAGCTACCTGTGAAGTTCTAAGTGCGCACAAGTAAAACATCCCAGGCGACAAATTAGCTCTGCGACAAGCGCGCTTCAAATGCGCCGCTACAAGGCCGAAGTTCCGACAGTTGCTCGGGCCTGTGCAAACTTCCATTTTAATTCTAAATCAAAACTTTGTGGTATCCATAGAAATGAATCGAAATCATTTTTGAAATTATTAATTATTTCGTTTCCTATTCTCTGCAAAGCTTTGTATATAGCAATTTATGAATTGATGTATTTTTATTTTTCTAGTTTCCGCCTTTGCTTCTACGGTACACAAACCACGAATGACTAACCGACGTCGCGACACTCTTATTTAATTTCCTGGTATAGCAATTTTTTGCGGGTATGCTACGATATCAAATTTTTAAGATAAAAATTTATAAGTTAACTTATCCAAATTGTGCGTTTCTCTTATCTTATGGATGTTTGCACAACGATAGTATTGTCATAATATCGAAATCAGCCTTATCAGTCGCTTATCTCTGCATATGCTATGCTTAACAATATACTCTTTCGCCCAGGTAGATTTATACTCTCGCTTACCATACGATAGCGATCGCTGTTAGCATGGTTATCAGCTGTATCGGAGAAAGTTTCGTCCAAATAATTATGAGTCAACGCTGGCAATAACAAGTGCATAGAAAGACGAATTTTTTTATCAAAAACAAGCGTAAGAATTGGAATTAACTCTCACTTAAACGCTCTAACTCTGGCAATTAACCAAAGGTAATAACATTTAGAAAAAAATCTATCTGCTTGTGAACAACAGAGTACTGGCCAAGAGAGTTCGTGGCGAAGTGGGAATTGATACAGAAAATTAAAAACAATTTCAGTTAAAGACAAAATCTATATTATAACTATTCTAAAAAATCCTTGACGTATACTATCACAAACTGCCCTGGTATGATTACAAGTACTACCTCCCATCTAGCGCAACTTGTTGGAATAATGCCAGGTGAAATGCTTTCTACCTATTCACGAACGGATGTCAGAAGCCTAAAATTATTGCCTATAGATCGTGACGAGCAACGGTGCGAAAACATGATTGAAATACTTTCAAACACCTCAGCCAGGCCCAGCCAATTTCAATAGGAAATGTATAATAAGCATATTTAACAAAACTATATGGAAATTGCCTGAAAACCCAAAGATAACACAAAAAAATTCTCGACAAAATAGCCGAATGTAGAAATTAATCTGCCACTATTGAGAAGCTGGTAGCTATCCTCGATGTGTATCACTGAAAAAAATTATAATATTTCATGAATCATATTTTTACCAAAAGAGTAACATAGCATACTCCACAAATTTTCTCAAATAAATTTTTATCTTAAGCTTACTTTATTTATACTTTCAAGAGGTGGATTCAATGTGGGCCAATTTCAGGCCTAATCAGGCTCATAATTTACAAACAAACAAAACCATCGTTTTACTTTTATTCTAAGAAAGCACAAACAGCACAAAAAGTAGTTTTCTCTAAAAATATTCCCGACTGGATTTATATTTCTTGACATCTGGTTTACTTAGCGTGACATGATCCGAATAAATCTCTGTATTTATAGCATTCATAACATGAGTTATAACAATTGTATTTCGTGACTTCTACAATAACAAGAAGTTTATCTAAATCAAAAAAAAAACGAAAATCAACTGTTTTCGTGAAATCAGTCTTTTTGCAATCAGTCTACCTTATGAAACGCTAACTAATAAGGAACGGCATATTGTTTTTGGTTAGATTTGCATATCATATTCTGACTTCTGAACATTGAAAATATTGAATTACTTTTAAACATTCGTAATTTTCTGCAGATTCAAACTCTTTTTTTTTTTGTTGTCGTCTCCCAAACCCACAAACTTATACTATGCTTGCTAACACAATAGATTTAACGTAACACCACTTGTCTTCGCTTTGTTGCTGATAAATTTACTTTTACTGTTATGACAGTAGATTTGGAATTGTATGATATTTATGAATAGTGTTATAGCTCTCCTGTACAAGCTCAGTAAAACGACCACCGTGAACATAAATTAAGGATGTGTGTGACCTTTACACAAGGCATACTTTGTCTGCTAAAATTAAGTTAGTTTTTCCACTTTGCTATGCTTCTAACGCAGTGAAAATTAGGCTCAAAAATAGAGAATAAAAATTGGGACATATCGAAATGGAATAGAAATCAGGAATTACAGACTGTACAGCTGATAATGTGAATACTGATGATCAAATACTTCGAACACAGTCCCAGTTTATCTTTTCCTATTCCATTCCTTCATCTCTGGCAACGCTTTAACTGTTTATACACAGTCATGTATAGGGAGACACAACATTATAAATTATCACTAGCACTGTTTTGACAGTGTCTATCAACGATTTGAATTGTCGATCTTGAAAGCAGTATAATTTAGATCACAGGCTCGTCACACCACCTGCAGTGCCTTGTAAATGAAGCATTTCAAATTAGAAAATCACACAATCCTCAAAATCGTTACGGCATAATAGAAAGCTCCTTTAGAAAATATCTCATAAAATAGACTCTCATGGTGTTAGATTTGGCGCATGCATGAACATTTATAAAAGCCTGTTTTATAAAATATTCAAGCTTGGGAAGAGATATCGGGGTCTGAACAGCACCGAATTTTTGTCATTCTTTGCGGGGTGACTAAGTGTTACAAAAGGCTTAGGTTTTAAGTGGGTGCATGTCTGAATGTAGCAACAACGCAGTAGATATATTCTAACATAAATCCTCGCTCAGCACGAGAAGTAGTGTAGAGCGCGATAGAAAGCAAGCCAAGCGATGGCTAACCATAAATTTCGTGGGTTTTGTTTGAATTTCTAGTGATCCAACATATAAGATACCAAAACCAAGTACGATTTGGGCTACACAATTTATTCTTATTCCTGAAGGCCTGCATTGTATCCAGCAACAAATCGATCACATCAGTGAAATTGTATTAACTCAGTTTATACACATTCGATGCAAATATTCGTTGTCCCGTGCTTGAAATATGTTTGAATAGAATGGAATTGTTTGTGGTACCTGATATTCCTAAAATCGGGGATAGTTTATTTTTCGTTTTGCTTGATTGGTTTTGAAAAAGACGAAACGGAATGTGTCTGAACGACTTGACGCTAAATTTGTCAAAGAAATCTGATAGTTTGACCCCAGAAAACTAGGTGGCTTCAACTTTGAGACAGTTATTTTTGTGTTAGTTTACTTTGAAAAATAAAGTGGTAACTAGCTTTATTTCGTAGAGTATGCAACTTAAACGTACTGGAAAGAACATGAAAGAAAACTATACTTGGCTGTAATTTTGGAAACGCTATTAGTGAACACCATCTTTTGCGAACCAGAATCCACCTTCTCACAGTGTCTATAAACGAGAAAACTTTTTATTGAGCATTAGCCAAGCAAAATGGTTTACGGCCTTGTACATAGGTGATATATAAATAAATAACATGCTGATGTATTTTAGATTTCTAACAACAAAAAAATGAAATGAATACAATACATTCTAAAATGGTCTTACAATTAATTTGTAACTAAAAGTTGATTTAAAATGCCACCAGAATGCAACTCATTCAAAATTCAATCATGATACAAAAATTTTACCGTAATTTCATATGACTCATATTTGGTGAATAAAAGTCATCTTTCATGCATACTTACTTTGCCGTGATCTTTACAAAAATCCTTAAAACTTAAATATTTTGTCTCTTTCAATGTTAAGTACCGTGGATAAATCCCACGTTATACTGATTCACTTTGGAGGATACGGTGACGTCCAGTTACCCATCCATCAATTCGACTTGAAAATTTTCTATACAAATATAAAACATTTTGAATCTTACCAAAATGCTGTTGAAAAGTTTGGAAAATGGAGTCGGATTTAACCGTAGTTGAATTACATATCTGTGTTGATATTTTGCCTCAGATATTATCATATTAACAGCGTGAAAATTGTACAGTTAGGAATGACAAAATCAAGGTCTCGACTTTTTAGACTGCACACGATGATTTAATATTTATATTGAACAAATTTGAGCGAGATTACATTATTTCCAAATTTGTGA